TGTGGGCTTTTGTTGCGTGCGCTTTCGTCCAGTGGGCTTTTGTCTGGTCACCAAAATCAGGTACACTTGAAATCTGTTTAAAATGAGCCATCTCTCATGTTTTCAATTACACTTTTTTATTATAACTGTCTCTTAAATATGCTGTTGATAAAAAAAATTTACCACCTCGGGTAAATACATTTTTTACTTGTGAAATATAAAAATTTCATAATCAGAAAATTTAAGGTATTAAAATCAGTAGAATCATAGGAATAACTTTATTACAAATTGTAACCAACTGTATGTATGTGTGTATATATGCAAGATAAAAAATATGAAAGCAAACTTCTAAATTTAATTCACTATAACCTCTTATTTTATTTGGAAACTTCATCGCTCTGTCCTAAAAATAAAGCTTTAGTCTAAACTGTGCCGTTTAAATTAATCATGCGATCTTACGTAACCCTTTGTGGTGCACTATATTTTAAAGTCGGAATTTCAACAAAAAAAGTTGTATGTAATCTATCTAGGCTTAAAGTATACAGGTAAAATTTTGTATAAATTGCACTTACCGTTTTAATTCTGTGGGTGTTCCATGAGGTGGAACACTGCGCCACTAGAGATTTTAAAAGTGCGACTAATCGAGCATTGCAGTGAAGCACGGAAATGAGTAGGAGATTTTTTATAGTAATGAAAAAACACTGTATTATGGCTGTATACGTGGTTTTCTGGATATACACAACATTCTTGAATAAATATAGATAAAATAAGATAAATATATGTATATACACAAGTCCTATATACAAATATATTTACAAATTTTTCGATTTCTTAGCTTAAAATTTTTGATTTCTTAGCTTTGTGAAATTGTTCAAAGTATATCGCACCTTTTTGATAGAACCACAAACCAACCTTGCAGGCCGAATAAATACTGATTCAGAAGTCAAACAACAAAAATCAGCGTTAATTTGTGAATTAACGCTGATTTTTGTTGTTTGACTTCTGAATCAACCTTGCAGGTTTTTAACACAAAACTTGTTTTGTGCAGCTTCGTGTTCCATGCAACAATATGTTTAAAATTCCAAGTAAAAACTGGAGGCTGCGTAGAGGGGCCTGGGTAAGATGGATCATCAACCTTCTCGTCAAATAAATGAATTTCATCTGACATATCACAATAGGATTACACAAGTGGTTCATGAGCATATATCTCAGTATTGCTGCTATCTGCATGCTCTTATTCAGAATAAGAGCGTAATTCATGAAGCACTTTCAGTGCTTCGGAAAGAGCACAAATTTCAAACAAATTTTTTTATATAGAAAATTACTAGAAATTAAGTGGATTTTAATAACACATCATAAATGAAAATTCTGGGTCTCCTTGTGATATGCTGCCATCGACTTTTTAAAAAGAGAAGTTTGAAGTATATTATAAAGGTATTTTTATTCATTTATGGTTGAATTTAACGGTTTCAGAAGCAATTCAAGTTGGGTGTTCCATGTAGTAGAACACTGAGCAACAAAGGGTTAATGCAGATGCCTCTTGACCAATCACCAAATTGCAAACCAAATCTTTTCGCGTGCTTCCATCTTCCATAACTACACACTTCAGCTTTGCTCTCAACTGTGCTAAGATGTAATTTCGCTGGCTTGCTTTCTATCTCAACAATATCAAAAATGTAAATCTTCTGTGGAAAGGCACAACTAGAGTGCCAAATATCAATTGCAAATAAAAATGGAATTAAAACTGTCTTGACTGTCAAGTTCTCTAGATATTACCAAGTTAGCATTATTAGCATATCAAAATAAAAATTCTTCTTCAAATCAAAAAATCACGCAATCAAAATTCTTCTTCAAATATGGAACTAAATACACATCGACACTGCTCCAGCTTTTCCCTGTGCTTTTGTTATTACACACATATATATATATACAAATTAAGCTATAGAATATTAGCTGAGATTTATAACTGAAAACATTACATCACTATTTTAAATGGAAAAAAGCTTTTCATTTAAAGTCATACATATTTCCAAGTTGTTATAATTTACTCAATGTACATTTTTAATATAGGAATCTTCATAAATTTTATATCCCAGCAATGTGAAATAATTCAGTTAAAATGAACAATAAAAATTCAACCAAATTATCACTTTTATGATTTCTGTTTGGACAATAGTTTGAAGTTAATAACTAGTTAAGGAGAATGATAAAGCCATTTTTTAAATTAAAGTTTTTTCACATTTTTGATCTAATTCTACACAGTTTCACAACGTTAAACTATCCATAAAAGGAATGTAACTAAAGATGAAATCTTAACCCCCCCCCCAAAAAAAAGGGTAATTAATATAAAATGTGTCAGTACTTTAAAAGATAATGAGAAAGCAAAATAATTATAAAATATCGTATTGAGCAATTCAAATTTTTAAAATAACTAAGATCTTTATAGAAATGACAATATCTATACAAAACAATAATTTGAAATTATAAAATATAGTTGAGCAATTCAAATTATTTTCCAAATAACAAAGATCTTTATAGAAATAATAGAATATCTATACAGAAAAATAAACATAAAAGCTTTTATAATAATATCGCAGTTCAAACTTAGCTTATCCTCTTATATATGAATAATAAATGTCAGCACAATAAAAATTAAAAAGTTACATAAAAATAAAGATTCTTGAAATATATTACATCGTAATCAATTGTGGAACTCTACTCTTAGATATGCACTCGGAGACAAATTTCTTGCCAGATCCACTGCGCCATATTACTATCTAAATTTTTTTGTCTACATTTCGAACTTTAAGCTTAAAATGTCTGCAAAAACCACGTTTTTAACACACAATTTACACCACAAATCTTAAACAAAAACAAAAAATTAGATTTAACACACATTTTACACCAAAAATCTTAAACAAAAAAATTTAGATAGCAAAAACGTAACGTTTTTAAACAAAAATATTCGACAAGAATCCATGTAAACAACAATCTGTTTTAACTTAATCACAGAATTGCACAATTTATGCAGTGTAGGAATTGCGCGCATCTTGCTAAAATAAACTAACATAACAACAATAAATTTCAAACAATACCATGCATACAACGTTCTGTTTTACCTTAAAAAATATCAGTGAATTGCACAATCTAGGCATTGCTCACAAATCAACAAAATAAACTAAAATAAATAGTAAACAATTAATTAAACAATAATAACGATAGCAATTCATAGAAAAAATGAACATAACATTCTATAAAATAAGAACAAAAAATAAAATGCACTTTATCCTTCCCCATCTTCTGAGACACGGAGCATACATTCGTGAATAAAATTTCGCCAGTCACACAACGTCTGTGAACAAAAGTGCTATATCACACGTCTTTTGTGATTCAAAATTTCAAAAGTAACAATAAAAACTTCCTCCATAGTTAACTTACTACTCGAAAACCAGGATCCAAATTTTAAACTTCACTGACAGCCACATACTTTACCCGCAAACATTTGCCTGCAAATCCACACAAATAAAACCACTCCAGCAAAATAAAGTTTTCAACGTCAAGAGATTTGCCATACAAGCAACATCACGCTAAAAACCAGCACAGAGCACATATTGCCACGTTTGGCAACGCCATACATCTGAGGGCGTTATATAAGAATAGTACCCCAATTTTGTGTTAATGATCTCGAAAGGAAATCAAAGACAGCTCACTGCCAACTCAAAAATCAGTTATGGAATATTTCAGAGTACTACTTGACATTACTTACTTGAATTAATATTTTCACAAATAGGAAAATCTTGACACTAACAACGCTATCATGAAATGCAATATGATGCCAATTGTTATGCCATTTTTAAACTATAATAATATGACTTATGAAGACTGATAACTGGCAGAGAGGTCACAACATAAGAAATGCACATTTGTGGTATTGAAATAGGACTTTTGTACAAGTGCTATTGAAATAGCGAGAGTGTACATAAACATTCAGAATTTAATATTGTTGTGTTTTTCTCTGACACTAGTTGTTACGTTGTTTTCTTCCTTCACGTTCGTATGAGGTTCGTGCGGATTTGGAGTGAATGACGACAATACTTGATGAAGTATCGAAACACACTTTATTTAGCCAATATTAATCAGAACACTTTTACGGTCGTTGAAGATCTACGATAAACACGGAGGAACAATCGGCAACATAGTCTTCACATTGTCAGGCAATAACGGTGGAGACAGCTTCACTGCAATGCACTAGAGTACAGCTCGGTCATTCTCGGAACTCCATGTACTCTTCAGACTCTCCACGCTACAACTCGCGATGCACACGATGACAAGCAGAGCACAGCTCCCGACTCTTCAGTTCAGTCGTTCCAGGAGCTTAACACAGTCTCTCAACGATGCACTGATTGCGATACACTAAGAGACTCGATCGTTTTCGCACGGACCAACTAGATGAGATGCACTCTATGCGAGGCGCACACTCACTAACTGACTGCGAACCAGCAGGGTTTATATAGCTTTCGGCTTGTGTTCGAGAACATTGAGCTAAACCGGTAAGAATTCGTTCCAGAAGGTTCTCCATCCTCACCAAATTTGGCAACCCTGCCTTGCTTTGCCAATTTATGGCAACCAAAAAACTGCTTTGCGGGGAAGCTATGTTACCGCGCCTGTACATTTCGTAACAATATTCTTGATTTGTGTAAATGAATATTCAGCATTCATCTATCAATTATTTTTCAGATAACAAAAGTTTGTATTAATAGGGTGCTTCCCCCCTTTTAAAACCTTAAAGTAATGCTAATTTTCTTTTTTTACTGTATTTTTCTTTATTAAAATAATTCTTTCCTCTCAAGAACATTAATTAGAATGAATAGAAAAATGATGTAAAATTACTTCTGAATTATAAAAATTTTGCACGTCAAAAGAAGAAATGTTACGGAAATGAAAATTTCATGTAATTCTACAAAATTTTATCCCAAAAATATTGAGTTTATAAATAGAATTTATATAGCAAGTAAGTTAATCGTGCTTAAGAAAGTAGGATAATTAGCAGAATAAATAAGGCAAAAATATTCTTATAACTGTAATAGATTTATTGATATTAATAGTTAAATTAATAATATATAACACTTGAAATGTGCTAAAATCTCATTTGTATATGAGTGTACACTTATTAAATAACAAAAATACTTAAAATTGACATCTTTAGACTCACAAAATATAACAGATTTTAAAAATCATCAATGTGGAAAATATAATATACATTTTTCTCAGAGTTCTTTTTCTCATGAACTATTTCAGTATTTTAATACATTCACTGACTAAACATATGCCCCATGCATAGCAGTATGTGTTTATACAAAGAAGCTGCAAGTAAATTCCATTGAGAAAACTAATTAAGCTAGGTAAAGGTATGAAATTTACAAAAACGTTTTCAGCTGCAATCAAATCTGTATTTCTTTCTTCCAAAAACCAAAACTGTTATGCTGGAAATAAAATGCCAAATAGCATTACAACAATTTTTCTTTGCAACAAACAATAGGAATTAAATAACACATGGCAATAAAAGTTAGCAACAGTTAAACCAGCTATCCTGTTGCTGTTGCCCATTGTTTTCTGTACCAATTCGAATGATAGTTCGGGAACTGCTGAGACTACTACTGCTTCGGGGTAACGTAACAGGCATCATTGGTCTTTGACTTTTTAATTTATGAGCAAGAGTCATAAAAATAGCTTCTACATGATCTGCTTCACTATCATCCATTGCAGATGTTTCAAAAAGAGGCATGTCATGACTGTCTGCGAACTTCTGTGCCATGTTTGTGCTCACTGCAATTTGTCCTTTGCAATCACATTTGTTACCTACTAAAATCCTTGGAATGTCAGCAGAAGAACCTTGATACTGATGCAGTTCTGCTATCCAGTGAGATAGGTTTTGAAAAGATGGCATTTTTGTAACATCGTACACAAAAACCACAGCATGAACATTTCGATAGTAGTGAGGAATCATGCTCTTTCGAAAACGTTCCTGCCCTGCAGTGTCCCATAGTTGTAACTAGGAAGAAAAAATATTAAATTTGCAGGAAACATTTTATATATGATAAAGATTAGCAAAATGAAAAAGATTTCTTTTTAAGATGATCTTCATAAAATTTCACGAATAATGACATAATGTACAGTAAAAAATATAATAAAATCACATTTTAAAAATATATTTCTTATTAAAAAATTAAAATAAAGTAAAAAATTAGACTTAGCATTTGAACCACAAAAACGAACTTTAAATGCAAATCACTTTTTTTTGTCCTGGTCGATTCATTTTTAATTTCTATGCAACTTAACACTGGTTTTTAAATAATTTTTTTGGGGTACTTTCTGATTACACGCATTCCAGTCTCAACATTAGGTAGAACTGCCACGTTTTTTTGGCATATTTGTTAGTATTTAAGTCACAATCTCTAATCCATACATATTAGACATGTCTTTGACCCTCTGAGCGGCATGACCAGCTTTATTCGGTCATGAGATTTTTTGTCACTTGATACATAATAGCTTATAACTTAACATATTTTGCTTCCTTACTTTCTGTAATAATAATATATATGTGATCTTAATGAATGTAAGTTTATGAAAATAGAGGCTAAAATACGTAAATATATGAATTTAACTAATAAGAAATGCTGCATAAATACGGGTCTTCATGACAGATTCCAAAACCCATGCTACTCTGAGGGTTAAGTATCACATGGATTTACACATTTTATCTCCAACCAGTATTTACTGCCAGTAAAAATGCAAATATCGGCCATATAGATCTTTTTTCAGAAAATTTGTTTCTTTGAAAAGTCACTGTTCTGTTATAATTTACAAATTTAATTACAGTCAAAAGTCTTTAATCCGGACTCGTCGGGACTTCGGATTATAGATCATCAGTTTAAATCTGGTAAGATGGCATGCAGAAGTTATAAAATTAAAAATATGAAACCATAATTTATGAAATAAAGAGCAATTATGATCTAAAGGGTATCAAAATTTACAAAAAAAGCTTAATATTTATTTGTTTATTAAACATTTCTTTCAACGTGCGCATGCGTAAGGCATACATTACGCATAGTCAAAATTAGAAAATTGCAACCAGAAAACTATTTGATGTGTACTTGTGATATTTATAATGACGAGGAATTTGATTTAAAGCATATCAAAGACGGAATACCTCGAGATGAAATACTACATTTAGTAAAAAATTATAAGCTGAATAAAATAAAAACATCTGCCCTGAAGATAAGGATAGTGCTGACAGATCAACTTCCAGTTCATTGCGTGCCGCAACGTCCCCGCCCCTCCCCGCAGAGCAGCGTGAAATTGACAAACAGATTTCGGAATGGTTAAAGAAACAAAGGATATGCCTTTATCCCTTTTTTACAGCAATTTTACTTTCTGTTTGTTGGACATCGAAACATACTTTCGCTTTGTAGATCCTTTACATATTAGTAAATATATATCGGAAATTCTATTTGACATAATCGAAAGTTCAAGCTTACTTTTATAAAACTGCCCTAACAGTCTGCAAAAAATAATAAGCCAGATCCAATTCGAAGATTAAGGAACAACGCAATCTGCAACATTAACTGAAATAGATAATTAGATAATTTTAGCTTAGCCTATACCGTCCGTCATACATTAAACGTGCATGCATAAACGTATCATGCGCATGCGTAAAAGCCTATGTGCATGCATGAATGCATTATACGTTGACGCATGCGCAGAAAGTTTGTAGCTTTGAGGTCCGGATTATAGATCATTCGGGATTATGGATGTCCGGATTAACGACTTTTGACTGTATTAAGTAACTGTGTAGTATAAAGACAGCTACAAAATTTTTCACTAACTCACACAAAACTGCAAATGAGTTGGCAATTTTTTGTGAAGGCACAAATAATCATAAAGTACAATTTTTGAAAAGCTGAATCAAGCTATGTCATATTCACTCTCATTGGGAACAAAATTAAATTCATTATTTTAGAAAACACATTGTTTCAATTAACATTAATAATAAATTTAATTTATTCCTTTTCAGAAAGAAATACAGGTACTTTGGCATCATTGCTATGACCTAGGTGAAATTTGGCGATTTTCTGGAAAAAAAAAAAGAAACGGCAATTTCAAATAGGAGAAAGTTATTTATTTCATATCATACATATTATTAGGTACATATTTTACTTTCAGTTCGATATTTATCCTGGAAAACAATTTATAAATGCAATTTATTCTACTTAAAAATGGTAGGTTAGAATGACTGAAGGGTAATTCTTGTATTATCGCAAAATTGTTGTTTCATTTATGGTAACCTGAGTAGTTGAATGTTCCACAAATATGCTTTTACCTATAACTGGGTGCTCCTTTGACATTTTAAGTGAAAATGTATCAATGTGTACGTGGGCAAAATCAAGGGAGTGTACAATGACCCTTCTTAATAAAATTATTGAAAACATCGCAGATGGTAGCACAATTTATTTTGACAGTTAGAAAGGTTACCAAACAAATAGAATAGAAAAAGAATTCCTACATGCTACAGTTAATCATAAATATAATTTTATTGATACTGATACAGTTCATATACAAACAGTTGACAACATGTGTGGCAGTGCTAAATAGAGGGACAAAAGACATAGGGGGACAGCGAGACATCATTTGGAATCTTCTTTAGCAGAGTTCATATGGCAACAGCATCATATCAAAGAAAATAGAAACTGTTTCGAATATATGTTAAACTCTATATCGGCCCATTTTCCACCGAAATCCGATTGACTACTTTGATTTTAAATAAAGTGTTTTAATTTATGAGTTGTTGCAAAAATTTTAGGTGTAGATTGGCGGCACTTAAAAACCACCAAATCTGCAGCTGCGGTGGCATTAATACGCAAGTATCAATAAAAGCAATTAAAAAATATAATTCTTATTTTTAACTACTATTAGATCCCTAAGTATGAAATCATGTAGTGCAATAATGAATAACCAAATGAAGTACTAAAATTGAAATACATATAAATGAAAGTGTCAAAGGTACTTTCTGACTATCTGCACCCCTCCCTTCCCTAAATATACACACTGAAAAGTCGCAAGGCAAAGCAGTATGCTGCCAAAATATTATGTGACAAATCCATAGTGTAACTAAAGAGTATTTACATGACAAAACAGGTATGCATGTAGCATGTCCGTTTGACCAGTGCACAAAGCGAAAGTTGTAGAGAATAGTCTGCTTTGAATAGTCTTCTCTTTGTTTTTAAACAAAAACAGATTGCTGTGTACATAGTGAGAACAACCGTGCAAACAAAAAGAAGAATTTCTTGAAAAAGATAAGCGTTTTATTATTGATATTTGTTGCTTTTTAAATTTTATTGATTGATTGCTCTGGAATGGAATTCTCAAACTGCCATTATGAAATTAACAGTTGCTGTTCACACATCAGCTTGGAAAAACATTAATTGCCAATTCAAACAATTATGTAATTTTTTGGTGAAGGATGCAGATAATTAGTTTTCAAAATATTATGTAAATATATAGTTCAAAACAAACTAAATTTTAATTGAACAGAATAAAAATAAATTATAAAAATTTGTACATAAAATTACTTTTAGTACATAAATGATAATTTTTCATCCTTTATATTATCTCATTATATAATAAATACATCATTTATCCAACCAATAGATCAAGGCGTCATTATGACATATAGGGCCTGTATTTGCAAAACCATTAAAGTCATGACAGAAGAATATGCACATGTTATTTAAAATTGAGAAGAAGCATAGTATGAACTGATGGCAAACGGTATGGAAATATATCATTGTACAAATAGTTAATTGGTTTTTGAACTCATTATGTTGAAGTCGCAAAATAACATGAGGAAGTTGGACAGCAATTTGGTTTTAGCCAAGTGCATCAAACTGAATATAGGTAACAAAGACTGCGTTAGCATGAGAATTAGCAGCTGAATAACTATCACAACAATTGGAATGCTTGAAACATTCCCACAATATGGAAGTTGATCCCAATATTAAATTTAATCTTAAATTTCACCAAATAATAACCAATGTAATTGTAATACAGCAAAAAATGTATGAAAAAAAAAGGCCAGTAAATTTAAAAAAAAAAAAAAAGGTGCTGATACCAATACTGCACTTTTGAGAAAACAAAAAATTAATTACAAAAAACAGGCAGTTTTAAAATAATTTCTTATAAAACATTTTAATATATTATTCAGTTTTTATTTATTGAAAAATAATTAGGAAAAAAATTTACCAATTACCATTTTTTTGTACACATTTAATTCCACAATTAGTCCAGGATACTCACAGAAACGATTAAACGATTACCAGACTATTTGAGCATTGCCAATTATCCATATTAAGCAAGCCAGTACATACACACATATATAGATGCATAACAGATTACCTTTATAGGTTCATTGTCAACTATAACTTGTCTTTCTCGAAAATCAACCCCAATAGTTGCTTCGGTTCGTGCTGGAAATTTCCCTCCACAAAATCGGAAAGTGAGACATGTTTTCCCAACATTTGAATCACCAATGACAATTATTTTAAATATTCTTTTTTGTTTCTCATATGAAACAGAATGTCCATCAAGAATATTTGTGGATGATAATGGACTGGCCATTTGATAAATGACTTTCCCTTAAATAAAAAAAAAGTGTTTTATATTAATGCAGCATATTTATCATGACAACAGAAATGTAATTAAATAATAAACAAAATATATAATAAAATAAAAAATAACAAAAAATTAATTTTTCTAATTTGAAAAGTCTCTTTTTATTCACTTCAGTAAATCTGTTAAGAATCTACAAGCATCTTTAAAAGTTAATTAGCTAATTGATTGGAATCTTGGGTACTTTTATTTATTGGCAAATTTCGCCAAGCAGACTTTAATGGCGGCAATATATACATAACAAATGTTAGTTCTCAAGAATTTTTTATTTTGAAGGCATAAACATTTTAATATCGTTTAAAATTTTGTATAAAGCCAATAAATAAAGACAATAAATTTGTAAAAAGACAATTTGATAATTTACTATGCTTTTATGGTTCAACATCCTGATTCGCCGGTTCATATCACGTGACTCCAAGTGATCTCATCTCACGTAAACTACGCTACAAAAATCTATTTCTCTCAGTAATTATCTACATTAATTTCAAGTTAAATCTTAATTTGGAATACAAGTTTAAATGAGAGAATTATTTCAATTCGTATGAATAGCTTACTCAGAAATTATATAAAACCACAGTGCTTTACTTCGCTAGTGCATTCTCATTAGAATTGACGAATTTAACTCTTGACTTTGCCTTTTCTATATTTTCGCCTTCGAGTGAACAGTGTGATTGCATCCTAATTGACTTAATTACCGCAAATGGCCTTAAGGCATAAAATTGAACCACCTGGTAAAAATTCCATGCAATTGTATGCCAGTATTGAAAGCAGCAATCAATGTGATAAGAAATAGCTGAGACTTGTTTTGAAAATGAGGCGTAAAAGGTTATCAGCGAGGATATTTTGTTTGGCATCAGTTGTACCATTATTGGTGACTTTTATCACCTGCGCCAGCAAATGGAAAAGTACCGAATCTTGTTATGATATTACAGCTAAAGTTAGACGTTCAATACAAAAAAATCAGTATAATCACAAAATCCTGAGCATATAGATTTGATGCTAAAGTTTATGTTTGGAGCTAAGTGATGCTCTATTAACAGAAAGGTACCAATTTTTAAAAATATTTTTAACTATTTGAAACATCAATGCCATATTTTTTTACTGTTGTCAATGGGAAACAGCTTAACACCAAACAATGACAGCACAAAATCTGGTACTTGTATATTATTTCAACCACCTTGGCCCAGTTCGGCAAATTTTCCGGAAGAAGCACAACAATTACATTTATTGCAAACAAATTATATATTGCACACATACTTATTATTAGGTATGTATTGTAAGTCTAAACTATATATTTTTAGGTAGATAAATAGTTGATTTTGGTAGATATTGTGGTAAAAATATATTTACGGGTACCCCTTGGTGAAAAGTGGCATTACATGGATACCAAGTTTGTGCAATTCCCCCGACTCATTATTTCGGCTTGTGTAGCGGCGGCTTTATAAGCCAATATTATAATTGGCTTTATAATATTGCCGCTTTATTGGCTTTATGTAGCGGCAATTTTGCTACATAAAGCCAAAATAACAAGACAAAGAATTGCACAAACTCGTTATTCATGTATACATTGACCTATTTTCACTTCAAAATATATCAGAGAATTGCACAAACTTGGCATTGCACACTTCCTCGACTTTATCCATGTACACATTGACCTATTTTCACTTAGAAATACATCAGAGAATTGCACAAACTAGGCACTGTGCACTCCTTTGGCTTTGTCCATCTACATATCGAACTATATTCGCTTAAAAAGTCAAAGGAGCAGGCAACAAAAAATATATATAATCTCAATAAACTACATTTTAAATCAAACAATGAAATAACATAAAAAAAAAAAGAAAGAAATTCCATCTTTGCACTACACAAAGGAAATAACCACTTACCTTATTTATGAATTAACATTTCTTCAGTCAAACAAAATTCCTTAACAGCATCCAAAAACTTCCTAAAATTATCTGAACTAGAATCTGTATACTGGCATGGCCACATAAATTCACAAAATAAGAGTAAAAAATATCCTTCGTAGTGCCGTTCGACCATATACATTTCCTTCCTACATACAGGACACTTAATAATGAGCTCTTCAAAGTAAACCTTCATTTACACACCAGTCAAGTAATGCTCTTTTTCCTTTTCTTTCTAAATCATACAGACACTTCAAATTAATCTTAGCACATTCAGTAATTTTACCATCTAAACCACAAAACAAGCAATATAATTCCTAACCAACACACACCACAAACCCTTACGAATTTACCGCAATCATGCAACTTATTACATCATAATAGGGTTTCCATAACATTGAACTACTCAGGCTACCATAAATGCAACAACAACTTGGCGATTAATGCAACAACAAGCTATAATACAAAGGGTACTCTTCTCTCTACTCTAACTGATATTGTAGTTAGTGGGTAAATGTGGTGCCCAAATAAGAGATCTTTTCAAAAGCAGATGTTTGGACTGGGCATCCTCAAGTGCTTAATAGTTTGCTAGTTTCATTTCTATTACAGCTACAAGGAAAATGAGATATTCAAACGACAGATCTGTTCAAAAGCAGATGTATGCGCATCCTTCTTTGTTTCTATAGGCAATCAATAAACCTAGTTATAAACAGATTTTTGCATTTGTTGTGGTCGAAATTTTGTAGCAGCTGCTTTGAGAATGAACTTGAAGCATTAATCCTTTAGGGATTTTGAAATAAAAATTACATATTCCTTCAGAAACATTTTGCCTCTCTTTCTTCTATTATAGGAAAATCCTACAAGCGTAAATTTTAAATTCGAGTATAAGACAAAAAATAATCATAATTTTTTCATAAAAGAAGCTGAAACTTGGAATGCAATAAAAAGAACTTGTACAAAAATGGCGACTTGGAAAATGGAAACTGAATCTGCGCATCATTGCCTGAATATTGTTATGTACATGGTTACCAGAGTTTGGTGTATTCTGAAGCTTCACGGTTAATCTTCGGATTATGGTAACTTGGTGATTTTTTGGCGAAAATTTGATGAGCAACTCTGCTACAGCAACCTGCTAGTTTTTTTTTTTTTGGACGCCATTTTGTTTTCAAGAAGTTTTTTTTTTTTTTAACTCAACATTTTTTTCCAACAATCTGCTAGCCGAATTACGCTTATGCTACAATTTTTATGGAACAAAAGTGCTTAATCATGACGAATATTAGGTGCGAAATTGGGAGAAAGTGCAGAATCACCCACTGCTTGCCGCGTTTTTAAGAACTGCACATACACGGTATCATCCATGTACACAACGACCTATTTTCACTTAAAAAACATCCCAGAATTGCACACAAATGGCATTGCACACACTCTTGACTTCATCCATGTACACTGCTAAAGTCTTAGCTAATAACCTTTATCACCTTACCAAAATGTCGCCAAACTACCTGTTACCATATTCCAAAGATTAGCCGCTTTGGCGATTCCTACTAAGGTGGTTGTGATAATACTTAAGTACCCAAAATCTAACTAGACAGCAATTCTTATGATAAATATAGCTTCATGAAAAGAATTACTATTTCAATAAATTCAAATAAATGAAAGAAAAATACAAAATTGATTTTACCAAATGAGAGAAAAAAAGAAATACAAAATTGATTTTACCAGATTAATTTTAGATTACACAAGAAGCACAAAGCTGCCAATTTCATATTGTTAAAAACTTTTGTGTGTTGCAGTGCTCATGCAGTCAACACCACATGAATTCAATTAGGTAGCAATTTGTAGCATTACTTTTAAATAGGTCTTTTACTTCAAGGCTTTTCAGACCCTCTGCCATGTTTGATCATAAGGGTCGTCATCACCACACAACACTTATTTTGTTCACCTTATTTAAGACTGCAGTCCAAGTCAGTCCTCATTCATGTAATTTTCACACAGTGTAACAAGCTAAACGATTAGGGACTAGATCATCTCCTACACCTGTTGTTACCAGGCTTACAAGGCAAGTCAGGAACACTAGGAATAGTGGCAGGCAGAGTGTTACTGACATTTTTTCTCCCTTTTACACTGCATTACAATTGTACAACAGATTCTTTCTTCTTGGTTATTTTCATGTCATTGCAGAGCTATTCTGCCTTGTAAGAAATAATCTAAATAAGTAACAAGGCTTGCATTCCCCACTTTCAATAATAGTAAAATTTACAGCATTTATATCACATAATTGCTTTTAATTATTAAAATCAGACATTTTGTGTAGCATGGGATTATAAAATTCACAGCTTTCCAGAAATAAGATTTAATATACCTCACAAAATCATTTTTTACTATATTTGTTTGTGCTTATTTCCTGTTTTTATGTTAATATTTTTTACTTTGATAAAGAAGTAACAAAAATATTTATTCTTCAAAATTACATGGTTTAAAAATTTGAATATTAATAACAATATTAATAATCCAAAAATATTCAAAGTTTGTTCCGCATTTATTTCAAATGAAAAGTCTTCATGTATTTCGAGTGGCAACAAAATGATGCTTAAGAATCCAAAAGAAAATTATGCTGCCAACAATTTGTTCTCACAAAAAGAAGTTTCTTTAAAAATTCACCAAATCAAGACTTCTAAAGTTAACACTGAAAATATTTTTTAATTCTAGCTATAATTTAAAATGGCATTCTACATTTAATTTAAATTCCAATTATTTTGATTGTTCTATATATGAAATGTAGCTGAGAATTTAAATAGAGATTTATTATTGTTTTCAAATATCCATTTCAAAGCATTACATTAACAAATTATGCATTTTAAATACAGTACCGACCAATTATAAAAATGATTTCTGTTTTAAGTATATTTGAGTTTCTTAAATAACTGAGTTTAACAAACAGCAATTTGAATATTACAAATTACATTATCAGCTTTGCAAGGTAGTAACTAATAATTTATATTATAATTAATATCTAATCTATTAATTAAAAATTAAATTTGCAAAATTTATTTTTTATTTTATAAAAATATTTTAGACATTTGTAAAGAATTTCTATACCAGTTTTTCAAGAGAGAAGAGAATCTGTATTCCATATTGTTCCATCAAGTCTTTTAATTGTGTTTTCAAATTTTAAAAAGAGTTGGTAGCTTTTCTGATCTCCCTTTCAATTCAAGAGATTTCTTAAAGTTTGCTGGGCTTTTCTCGATTCAGTCGAGGTCAGCATGTAGTCACATTCTTCTGTATCACTTTCAATTTCTGCAGCACTTTTAATACTTTAAGATCATAGTCAGTGTTTTCGCATGCTGTCTCAATATTATCAATTGCAAAGTATTCTAAAAACAAATCTTAATAATTTGCCTCAACGATATCCAAAATATTGAAAATCGTTTGCAATTGTCCTTTGGTTTCTTCGAAATAAAAACCATATTTTCTAGTGCAATTTCTAACTGTGTTTTGGGAACTGCTTTCCATACATTGACTTTAATACAGTGGCTCACAAAAGTGTTCGTACGCTTGAGAGTTTCAGTGAAATATTACTTTATTCATTAATAAAAATTAATACTTTAAAATGAAAAATTTTTTAATAATATCTATAAATTTCTCTTAGCAAAACTACGTTAATTATTTTCAGAACATACTATTTTTTTTTAAATCAACAATAAAAAAAAGTTACAGAAAAGTTACACCACAAAAGTCTTCGTACCCTTTAAAGAAATCTGCACATATTAGTAAATATTGTAGCATTTCTGTCAATTACTATTTTGCAGTATATCCTGCAATATTTATGACACCTTTCGAAAGTGTGGGTAAAGAGTTCACAAGCTTTTTGTAATGTCTGCATCAATGTTCCTTCATTCCATCATTACTGTGTTTAATTTGTTTTTTGTTTTAATGTTGCATCTTCATACTCTAATTTCTAATACACTCCAGATATGTTCTGTTGGTTTTTAATATGGTGCCTGAGATGGTGTTTTCAGAAACTGTGGACAATTATAGACACTCAAAAGGCGGTGTGCTCAGAATCGCTGTCCTGATAAAAAAATAAACTTATTTCCGGTATTCAAATTCTGAGCGGATTATTTTAAATTATCTTTTAAAATATTTAAATAAAGAGCATGGTTCATTGTGCCATCAATAAATACTTAAGTAATGCTCTTTAGAATAGACCAGTTTCATGTGACTTGCATTCTTTTAAAAGCCTGGGTAAAAATATAATATTTTAATCTACCTTATACTTGTAAAATTTTTCTGGGAAGCAAAGCTTTTAAATATAATCATTACTACTGCTGCTTTAACAGTTGCTCCTGTTTTAACAAAACACAACAAAGAAAAAAAAAAAAAAAAAAAAAGAAAGAAAAAAAAGTGAGAGAGAGAGAAATAAAGAAAATAATAACAGTTAATAAATAATCAAGCTATAAAATACAAAAACACAAGTATTAAGAAAGTATGGCTCTGATTAGATATAATTTATTTGTCATTAGAATGGCTAACTACATGATTAGGCTAACTAAATGATTAAATACAATATTTTATTACAGTATAGAAAGAAATATTAATGATTACCTATTTGTTTACTGGCATACTAGTATAATGAATGCAGACCTAAATTTAAATTACTCAACTAAATGTAACTAGTTGAGTGATTTTAGTAAATTAATGGTAGTTATTTAGTTCATATACAAGATAATTACATATGTAGTTTATTTAATATTTAAAAAATATAATTACTATACAGTATGATAATGAAAATCCTCCATTTCATTTTGCAATATCATTTATTAAAATATCCCATTACAAGACATTACCAAATTTTGGAATAAAATAGCAAAGAGAGGAGGTGCTCTTTTCGAGTAAATACAGTGTTTTTGTAATACTGTACTGTGTCAAATTTGTAATTCAGTGCTCGAGTTCTTTAGATATGGAAGAGCAAACTGAAAGCATACGTGCATTTTCCTTTCAAATATCTGAATAATCTCAAAGAAAGCTCCCTATCCATGCAAACTGCAGGAAAATAAAATCATAAATCATATAAGCAATCTCATTAAATACTCTTGAATGTCATACAAACAAAAATTAACTTACCAATATTAATCATATAGGAAAACGTACTCTACACTTTCAGTTGCATTTAAAATAATTTAAGACTAAATAAGCTGTATTATTAATGAATGCGCATTAATTAATAGGTGCGCTTATTGACACACACGATGTTTAACTTAAATAGCTGCTGATGACAAACAGATGTAGGGGAACTGTGATAGACTAGCGTCTACATCCCAAAACGGCAGCCAATGAGAGAGGCGATTCTATTATTTTCATCGGGGAGTAGGGGAGTTAGAATGGTTTTCTGAGGAATGCAACGGCAGTGGGCTATATGTTCGCTTACATTTGGAAGTTCAAAAAATTGCTAAGGTGGATTGCTCTAGTTTCTTCAGTTACTTACAGGGAAATAATAGGCAGTTTTTTCGGTTTCTTGACAGAGGGCAAATAGACAATTTACCTTTATAATCTGCGTTTATCTATTTAAACTTCAGAAGATTTAAGATGAAGCGAATATATTTAACACAATGGAACACAATCTTAAGACTTGTAAATCTTTTAAAAGACAACAGCAAATTTTTAAACATTACCATTACTGTAAAAAATATCTTCTCTTCTAATTATAATAAATAATGAGATAACGCATGAATGAATTGTTAATTATATGATAACTATGCATTTATAAAAAGTTTTTAATAATGAACTATAAATAATATTTTTAATTATCGATGTATTGTTTTTTAAAAGATTTACAAGTCTGCTTGCGTTCTGTTGTGTTAAATATATTCACTTCATATTAAATCTGAAGTTTAAACAGATAAACGTTGATTTATAAAGGTAAATAATCTATTTGCCCTCTATGAGCAAACCAAAAAAAAAAAAAAAAACTACCCTAATATTTTCCTGAAAGTAACCGCAGAAACTAAGGCAATCCACCTTCGCAATTTTCTGAACTTCCAAATGTAAGCGAACATATAGCCCACTGCCGTTGGCGTTCTTCAGAAACCATTTTAACTTCCCTACTCCCCGATGAAAATAATAGAATCGCCTCTCTCATAGGCTGCCGTTTTGGGATGTAAACGCTAGTCTGTGATAGCAAAATTTGACGGAGATGCTACGAGATAGCTGCCCAGGTTTCGATTTGTTTGGCAAGAGCCCTTGAGCACCATAAGACATTTTTTTTTTTCATTCTTTAATATTTTATGCTTACGCCTCTTCCATGATTGGTGCATATACTGAAAAAATTAAGAATAAAGGTACTACATAAATACGTAGATATATGCATGCATAATTATTTAATTGGCTTTACCAATAACGTTTTTTTTTTTTTTTTTTTTTTTTTTTTCCATTTCAGTCTCTAAACATTTGCACTGGCAACGCTTTTCATTGTATATGTTTGTCTACAAACGTGCGGATGTAGAATAGGTAGTTTATTATGGTTTAATTTTATTACTGTTATCATTAGAAATCTGTGTATATAGTTTAAACTAATGATTTTGTTGCTATGATAAACTCGAATATGTAGTATTAAATTTCAAAAACTCGTAAAGAATTGTAATATAAGGATATATTATTTTGGGGGACGCGTAACACCTAGTTAACTAGCTGAAAAGGCATTATGAAACTAAGCGTATGAATCTTATAATTGTTTACTATAAAAATTAATTATATTAATTGCAATGGAAAGGAAGCATGTCAATTCAAAATTAAATTGACACAAGATTTTTTGGCTAAATTACAGAATCGCCCACTTATTTGTTTGGCGTAAGAAGAATTGGATTTTTGTCAATTTTCTTTAACTTTTGAAGTGAAAATAGGTCGATGTGTACATGGATGAAGTCAAGGGAGTGCACAATGCCATTTTTGTGCAGTTCTGGGATGCTTATTTAAGTGAAAATAGGTCGATGTGTACACGGATACCGAGTATGTGCAATTCTTAAACGCGCTAACCAGTGGGCGATTCTGCACTTTCTCCGATTTTTTTAAAAATATTATTTTGAAAGAAAACTGGGGTTTTCATCCGCAGAGAACCCGTTGGCGCCGTTGCATTTTTTACTCGCCAAGCTCGCGGTTCATCGACGATGAGCCGAGCTGTAAACGTGATTTTTAGTGCATGTAAATTCAAGTTAGCTGACAAAACAATATATTAAGCATATGGTAGTAAAAATTCACAGATAATCAGCTTGTAGATGTAAAACTAACCGATTAAACATGATATACGAAAATAAATTTGTATTAAATTCAAGTTAGCACAGAAAACAATATATTAAACATAAGACAATATATAAGCATTTATAACAGAAATAAAAAATATAAATTAGTATTAATGTACTGAAATTACCCGGTTAAACGTGATAAACGAAAAAAATTTGTCTTAAATTCCAGTTAACACAGAAAACAATATATTTCTTACACCAGCAGTGGTTTGCTAATTTTGATGACCATGGTGATGCATCAAACTATTCTGTCATCTTAGATAATTAATCATATTTTTTATTTCAATTTAATCATCTACTTATATCACACCTGCCATCCTCTGAAAGGTTATTGTTAAGCATTAACAATATATTATCTTGTTAAAATTTTACGCCATAAAAATTGATTTATTCTCATAATTTTAGATGACAATAACCAGTAATAAAAATAAAAGCATTACTTAATTATTTAAAATGCACATGCATATTTTTGCGGCCTACGAAAACAAATTATTTTAGGGGTTGGAAACCTCATAGTTCTGCATGCTTACAGCTGTTAATAATTAAGAACACAACGTGAACAGCCGTGTTACAAATTAGCATTCACCCCTCCCGCCTTATTTTCTTCCTTTCATCCCGAACTGAGAACTGGCATCTATCTACGAAAATATTTCTATCTATTCGTCGTTAAAAAATTCAGAAAAAATAATATAAATCTGCAAATGCGAACAACGGCAGTGATAATTCAACTAAGTGAACGCAAGAGGAATGGTTGCGAACTTCGAGAAAGCGAATAGGATAAATCTGCTGGATTACCAGGTTTGAACTATTATCGCCGAAGTTGGCGATGTTTACATTTATTGGGTTCTCTGCGGAAGTGCTTCCGTAAACTGTGTGTTTCAGGGATAAGCTTTAGATTCATGTCTTCAAGAAGCCTAAAAAAAATCTGAAAAGTGGTAGTAAATTGTAATTAAAACACTACAAGCCACCTTATTTTGATTGTCACCCATAAACGTTCAAGCATAAGTTTTTGGAACACCGTCTATCTAATTTATCCTGTTAAGGATTTTCAGTTGCGCAGTTAGATATGAAAAATAAAAATTAAATAATTTTTGAATTGAAAATATAATCTAATACCTTTATTATTAATTTGAAAATTATGTGAGCAGTTAATAAAATTGCTATTTTCTACATCATTGATACTAATAACAAGGATAAAAATATATTTACGAGTACCCCTTGGCAAAAATTCACGAATTTTGGCGGTACATGGATACCTAGTTTGTGCAATTCTTTGACTTGTTATTTTGGCTTGGCCAAAAATTGCTGCTACACAAAGCCAAAATAACAAGATAAAGAATTGCATAAACTCAGTACCCATGTAACATCGACCTTTTTTTACCTGAAAAGTCAAAGGAACACCCAGTTCTAGGTAAAAGCATATTTACGAAATAGTCAACTACTCAGGTTACCATAAATGAAACAGCAACTTGGTGATAAATGAAACAACAATTTTGCGATAATACAAGGGGTACCCATCAGTCTATTCTAACCTACCATTTGTATTTATAAATTGTTTTACAGGATAAATATCAAACTAAAATTTAAAATATGTATGATATGAAATAAATAACTTTCTCCAATTCGAAATTGCCATTGTTTTTTTTCAGAAAATATACCAAACTTCACCTAGGTCATTGCAATAATGCCAAAGTACCTGTATTTCTTTCTTAAAAGGAATAAATTAAATTTCAAAGCATTAATTTGTCTGGATAAATCATCTAAACGAGCTGCCAAGCGTAAAGTCGCTGAACACTGGTAGTTTAGTCCGAGGTACGAATCTGGCGAACGGGCTGGCTGCATGGGCGTTTTTGTGGTTTTATTCCATGTGTAATGTGTATACGAGCCAGTTCCCCATAGAAAGTCCTCCATGAAGGCATCCTTTTCCTTAGGCAGATAGCCCTAGTGTGCTTTGCCATAATTAAATAAACGAGCCATCAATTGATCCACTGGCTCGTGAACTCGCACAACTCTGACTGGGTAGCGATCTCTACCCTACTACAATCATGTTTTCTCTCTCCTCCTTGAAAAATGGAGATCTGCAAAGGGTATTTAGTTCTAATTTTCACACTAACCAAGATTAATTTTAAAAATTTTGCTTTTATATTATTATTCTAAAGTTTCAATTTTCCATCAACCTTTTTTTAGGATCTAAGTCTATATTGAATAAAAACTCTTTTACAAAATTTTTTGTATTTAAACTCTAAAATTTATGTAGCTTTGAAATAAAGAATATAACATATGCAGTTTTTGAATCTATTTTCATTAAAAAAAATTATGAGGTGAGAGTGTTAATGTCAAATGTCATAATTTTCTGAAGATTTTTTTTAACTTTATAAAGTAATTTATTAATTTTTTCCTTGTTTAAATATTTTCTTTAAATTAATACATTTTATGTTACTGAGATGATCAAAATATTTTTAGGAAGAATACAGTACAAAATGAAAGTCAAGGTTCTGTCAAGAAATCCAGACAATTATTTGAGGGAAACAAAACATGACATTCATAGAAGTAAGTTCTTTGATTTCAAATAATAATTTAGAAGTGTTTTTTTTTTAATGAACAATGAATATCTTAAATCATTAAATGTAAGTTACTTTACTTTATCCATTATTTCACTTAATAGCATCCACTGTGTTTAAAAATCTAAATATCAGTCATTTAGACTTTTGTTATTTCTTATGGAATTTCTTTTTTTCACTTAAAAAAGTGCTTCTTTTTATTATTATTAATGAATGGAACTCTACATCTGAGTAGTAATGGTAGCCAAATAAACATTCCTTGCTGATCCACAAAGCTGCCTATACCCATTACCGATTTTTGTGATGGTGCAGGTTATCAGAAAGTACTATAAGTTTAACACAAAGCTGTGTTTGTTCATAATGTATAAATAAAGTTACTGCATCAATAATTTTACTTGTACTTTTAAACTCGCCAGTATTTATGCAAAGGGATGATTTGTCAAAAGTATATTTTAGGGTACCCCTTGACGATTTTGGGCGGTACATGAATACCGAGTTTGTGCAATTCTTTGACTTATTATTTTGGCTTGCATAACGGCAAATCAGTGCTACACACCAAAGCCAAAATCGCAAGACAAAGAATTGCACAAACTTGGTATCCATGTACATATCGACCCTTTTTTCACTTAAAAAAAAAAATCCCGGAATTGCACAAAAAGGGCATTGCGCACTCTCTTGACTTTATCCATGTACACGTCGACCTATTTTCTCTTAAAAAATCCAAGAATTGCACAAACTTGCATAGTGCATTCCCTTCACTTTATTCATGTACACATCGATATGTTTTCACTTAAAAAGTCAAAGGAGCACCTAATTCTACAATACAAGCAAACAAAAAATACATAATCTCAATAAACTATATATTAAACCAAATAATATAACATAAAAAAGGAAAAACATGCTATACATTTAAGCAATAGAAAAAGCAAATATCCACTTACCCTATTTAGAAGTTCCTTTGTCTTTAGTCTGTGGCATACAAAATTCCTTAACAGCATCCAAAAACTTCCTAAAATTATCTGAACTCGAATCCATATATCGGCGTCGCCACATCTGAACCTTTCTTCCTACAAACCCATTCAAATCCGTCTAAACAGTTTTTACGTTTGACTAGACGAATATCCTTCCTACATACAAATTTATAATGGCTACTAAGTAAACCTTCATTTACACTCCAGTCAATTAATGCTGTTTTCCCCTTTCGTTCCAAATCGTACAGAAATTTCAAATTAATCTTACTACATTCGGCTATTCTACCGTCTAAAGAATCAAACCAATAAACACCACAAAAACGCTTACAAAACATCCCATGATTCAAAATTTCCCAGAATCATGCACCCGATTATGTCACAATAAGGTTTCCATAACATTAAACTACTCGGCTACCATAAATGAAGCAACTTGGCGATAAATGAAACAATAAGTTTGCCATAATCTAAGGGGTACCTTAAAGTCTACTCTAACCCATGATTTTTCCATTTTGTCATAAATTTAAGGTAATTAACCCCTTAACTGATTTTTTTTTTTTTTTTTTGCCTGAAATGTTCTTCCAAAAAGCTCTTATGTATATATACATACATCTGTGAAATATTGAATTAAAGAACTGAATTTCATTGAAATCGAAATAAATTTGCTAATACTCGCACAGTAGTTGCAAAGTAAGGTAATAATAATTTATTTACTAAATATTGATTACAATATCTCCTAATATAAATTTAGTAGGTTATCTAAATGAAGTAACCCAGATGTATGAAAATTTAATATCGAAAATTAATAAACCAAGTAATTATTGTTATTATCAGAAATTAGTAGACTTTGCAAGGGGAACAAACCAACTCCCGTTCAGTTAACAATAATTAATTAATGTGAAGGTGTTTCATCTTTTACTCAAGTTATAATGATGATGCCAAAGTTGCAGTTTTAGTTAAGGCCAAAATTGTTGTTGAGTTTTAATTCAAAAAATGAGATTAAAGAGATGAAATAAGATGAAGTAGTTCCATGAAGTTAATGGATTTATAGAAATTTCGAGATATATTAGTCAAATTAAATAGAATACTACAGTCAAAAGTCGTTAATCCGGATTCCTCGGGACTTCGGCGATTCCGGATTATAGATCATCAGTTTAAATCTGGTAAGATGGCATGCAGAAATTACAAAATTAAAAATATGAAACCGTAATTTATGAAATAAAGAACAATTATGATCAAAAGCTATCAAAATTTACAAAAAGAAAAAGCTTAATATTTATTTGTTTACTTTATTAAACATTTCCTTCAATGTAAGTTGCTTCGTTTCATGTGATAATACTTTCTCTTTAATTCTATTAAACAGACATAATTTCTTGTTTAGTTACAAAGTTCCGCTGTTCAAGTCCTATAATTGCTGTGTTGAGAATACCGACTAATTTGTCAATCGAAATGTTTTCGTTTTCAATAACCTCTGGGTCACTTTCTTCACCAAAGAGTATATCCAGATGAAATACTACACTTAGTACGGAATTATAAACCAAATAAAATAAAAACGTCTGCCCTGAAGATAAGGATAGTGCTGACAGATTAACTTCCAATCCCCCGCGTGAAATTGATAAACAGATTTCAGATTTCAAAATGTACTTTCGCTTTGTAGATACAAATTGCATATTAGTAAATATATATCGGAAATTCTATTTGACATAATCTTTCTAATCTATCATAATCTAATAATGACGTTTCTGCCCCCCCCCTCTGCCGCAGAGCAGCGTGAAATTGATAAACAGATTTCGGATTTCAAAACATACTTTCGCTTTGTAGTAAATATATATCGGAAATTCTATTTGACATAATCGAAAGTTCAAGCTTACTTTTATAAAATTGCTCTAACAGTCTGCAAAAAATAATAAGCCAGATCCAATTCGAAGATTAAGGAACAACGCAATCTGCAACATTAACTGAATTAGATAACTTTAGCTTAGTGTATAACTCCGTTACACATTAAACGCGCATGCGCACAAACATATTCGCAGCCGTAAGGGTCTTACGCGCTCTCGTAAACGCCTGTGCGCATGCGTAAACGCGACGCATGCGCAGAAAGTTTGTAGCTTTGAGGTCCGGATTATAGATCATTCCGGATTATGGGTGTCCGAATTAACGACTTTTGACTGTATAAAGAATTCATTTTAATGTAGCATTTATGTTGTTAATGAATTTTTAGAAGTTTTGAGTTAAATTTTCATAAATACAATAAATAGAAGTTAATCTTTGCTATATTTATGAAATAGAACTCAAAGTAATCATAATAGGCATGAGCGACGCAATAAACAATGTAATCTTTGGAAAATTAATGAAATATGAGTTGAAAAATTGAAAGATAAAAAAGGTACAAGAAAATGTACAAAGCTAAATGTGCATAATATATAATAAGGCCAGAAAATGAATTAATTAACTTCTTTCTAACGGGATGACACTGATGTGTGCGTGTCTGTTTTCTTACTCAGAGTAAGTGTGGAAGGCTATGCTGTCAGATGCAGGGAGTGGCAGTGGGGATCCTTTGAATTATTACTGTAGGTAAACCTTTGAGAAGCTATTTTTGGTATGTGGAAGGGAAGTGGCATCGTAGCTCTTTTGTGAGTGTAAATGCATCTTTTAAAATTTTGATATTATACTAACTAGTGAATGGAAATTTAATTTGGCGTAATGAGGAAGAAAAGAAGAAAGAGGAATTTTCACTTTTAGCAAGCTATTTAGCAGACTAAGAGTATGAAATAGGCTCATTTTTTTTTTTTTTAGTAACAGGAAAAAGGAAAGAAAAAGCCAGAAAACAATGATCTTTTACATTATATACAATTATTTTCTGTAATTACACTATGTACGAATCCTCCAACTGATAGTCATCCAACTTATACCGCCTTTTCAGGTTTAGGAACAAATTTTCATATCCCTATCAGTTAAATGATTTAGAGAGAGAGTATTTAATGCCTGCTCTTTAAAGAAAAGGATTAATAATGTGATTAGGTGCTAGATTATTCTTGAGAATTGTAATAAATCATAATTCCGTATTGTAGATCTATTTTTGTTAGTATTGAAATTGAAGTCTCTTATTTTGTCAAACGGTAGAATTTTTTTATAGTTAATTTTTTGAAGATCAAGATAGTTGATGATATTTTGCGAATGATTGGTTTTATTAAGAGTAAGGCATTTTGGATAAATCTCTGAGTTTTCAATCTTATTAAAATTCTTAAATTTAATAAGGTCATCTATATACCTGTAAGTGTGCATGTAGTAATCATGTAACTAAACTCCATACTTTACAGAATATGAAAATGAGAGATTTGTTTCAAAGATTTTCATACTTAGTATTTCATATATCTCAAAGATTTTCATAATTAATGTTTCTAAACCATTTTTCATTTTACAGTGATGAATCATAAGTACCAAAAAAATATGAGCAGTGAAGACAGGTTTACGGAATTCTTCAAAAAGAATCTTATAATTAAAATTTCACTCTTTTCAATGCTGCATTTTTTTAAAAGTCTTTTTTTTTAGCCCAGAAGGGCTTTTAGTCTTGAAACGGCATTTTGTGTTTAATCATTTGTTAAATTGTTGCTACCAAATGTTATCAATCTATATTATATTTAAAGAAATTAAATAATGAAGATTTGCATGAATGTATGTATGTATGTTTCTTGCATTGTGAAAAAACAATGGTACCTAGATCCATCAAATTTTGAATAATGTTGTCCTCTATCCAAATATGGGCACCTGGAAGCCTGAATTTGGAATTTGTTTTGTTATCTATTTCACATTTTGTAAAACTTTAATGAATTTTTGATGAAAAAACTCAACAGTTTCAAAGCAAACAATGGCGACACTGTATGGAATAAAGCATTTTTATCTGCAGCACACAAGACTTTCTATCAGAAATTCTTAAAGGTATGGTCTTTTAAGCCCAAAATCTCTTGGAATGTATATGTGTGTTTAAATGGAAAAAACACCCTTTTGGTTCAGTAAGCTTTCAGTATTTTTAATTATTTATTTTTTAGCGTGTGATACAATTTGAAGCATGGTGTAATGCAAATTCCTAAGTTGCACTCCTTACAGAAATATTGAGTCTCCATTTGGCTTCTCTTTCCATTCTTATTTCTTTTGGAACAATTTCTTATCTGTGAGGATAATAATTTCTATAAAAAAGTGCCTTTGTGTTAGTCTTATCGGATAAGTCTCAGAGCCTGGACATCTGAATCTGAAATTTATTCCAGAATATTTCTCAGTATTACTGTCAACAAGATCATGTCTGAACTCTCTAATTGTATGTTCTCCCCTCATTCCTTATGGTAAACAACATGTAAGCTCCATATAGCAATATAAAAAATGTGAAACAAAATATTTGTGTGATATTCCCTCCCTTTTTTTGTTAAGGCCCACCAGTGGCCGAGCGGTAACGTCGCTGAACACTGGTAGTTCGGTCCGAGGTTCGAATCCCACGAACGGGCTGGCTGCATGGGCGTTTTCGTGGTTTTCCCCATGTGTAATGTGTATACGAGCCAGTTTCCCTTAGAAAGTCCTCCACGAAGGCATCCCTCCCTTAAGGCAGATAGCCCTCGAGTGCTTTGCCGTAATCTAATAAACCAAACCAACCCTTTTTTTGTTAATTTCAAAATTTTTCAAATTTTTATCCCTGCAGTCTACTTTTTTCTATAATCCATTATGATTTTTGGTATTTCTTTAGTTTCAGAGCAGACTAGAATTTGTTCCATTCCAGTATTGTAAATTGGGGACAGTAATGAAATATTTTTCTTTATCTGTCCATTTTATCACAGAACTTCTACCCTCAGAAATGCTATGATTTTCCTACTGCACAAGTGCTCTGAATAGTCCAGATAAATATTTCTGAATCTGTATCAGAATTCAGTTCATCATCAAGCAATAAATTATTTTCATTCTCATATTCATCCATATTTCATTAAAAAAAATAGGATTCACAATACCTGTATAGCAAAATTTTCTGATTCCGAAGGAAATATCGAGGAGAACCTTTTCTGTGAATGGACACATTGCACCAAACTAAATATCTCTACAAGTATTAAAAATACGGGCAAATCAGGAAAATGAAAAGGAGAAAATATCGATTCCTATACACTGAATGGGCAAATTAGGTCAACTTTGAATTGTCTGTACAGAATGCAGACAAATCACAAACATGAGTCAAACAATTTCATTTTTGTTTGATAAGCTTACTAAGTTGCTGACTTTTATTATATTGCTAGTGTTGGTAATTGTGTCTATATTTGATGATTTATTTTTAACCCATCTAATAGACAAGTACCATTTTTAATTATGCAAGTTTTATATTATCTTTGCTTATTTTTAATCTTGATATATTTATAGAGTAATTATTTCTAATAAAAACATTATCTGCTTTATGATTTCAGTTCAGAGAAACTATGACCCTGCTCTTCATCCATTTGAAGTTGCTAGAGAGTATACAAGGGCCTTAAATGCAGTGAAACTGGAACGTGTATTTGCTAAGCCATTTATGTTCTCTCTGAATGGGCATACAGATGGCATTCAGTGCATGTTTAAACATCCTAAATCTTTGTCTCTTGTATTCTCTGGATCATATGACGGCGAGGTAAACATTATATATAAAGTTTATTAATTACAGAAGACACCACTTAATTGTGATCACATTTGTCCACTGCTATTTTGATAACATTAAACAATGAAATCAGTATTATTCAAAATAGCAATGGCAAACTAATTTAATATAAATATAGCTAGAAACTTATATATAATTTTACCGCATAATAATTAAGAATATAATTTTGCAGCATTTTAATTAGGAAGAAAATATTTAACAGTGGAATGTCTGCAGGTATTAGTCAAAAGTTAATTTATTAACTGTTCATAATATTTCTGCCAATTATTTGACTGTTTCTCTTTTTGTAATCTTAATACTACTTGTAGGAAATCCCTCATATCAGTATTTGAGGAAATTTACCGATTTCATCATAAACATCATTGCAAAGTATTTCATATGTGTTGAACATTTAAAACGCTGTGGTTCGAAAAACAAACATTTATTACAGAGCAAAAAGAAGAAATACACACACAGCGAAAAGGTTCAGTTCAGTTTTTTATGGTCTGTGGCATCATAGCTGATCCACCGCTTTAATTGCCCAGATGATAATTTGCCCTCAGGCGATGGTAGAATAAGAGATAAGGCAATTATACACTCCGCCAAAAGGGGAATCCAAAACAAGTACTGAAAGTACGTAAAGTGAAGGAAAAGATGGGAAAATCAAACATCTGGCTTCGCCATTCGAGCAGTGATTTCTTCACAAATAAGTCAAATCTTCATACGTTGAAAACAACTCGGTAAAGAACTGAGAAATGAAAATACAGAAAATTAATAAAAGTTCATAAAGTCCATAAAGAGCAAAGAAGCAGATTTTAGTTATCTTCTTCAACTATTTTCATAATCATAAGATACTGCTTTGAATCCAAACACAAAACGGCCGTGGATCTTGCGGCACGAATTTTCTCTATACAGTCAATAAATCCTTTGAGGAAGTTATTAATACTTCAATCTTGAATCCAGTTAAATGCTTCATTAATATCTTCAGGTGATGCTTGAATATTTTTCTTGGGTTTTTCTTAGTAGATGGTCTCTGCGTTCTTCAACAGAAACTTTAATAGGCAATTTCGGAAAGTCTTTATCTTTAGGAGTGAATTCTGCTTGTTTCTGGGGAAGTTTCTTAGCATTTTTCCATTCAAATTTCTTTTTATAGTAAAAACATCCATGATAATTACTGACGTGATTTTCATGGCAATAGATACAGGTCGGCTTTTCTTCTTATTTCAAAGTACATGCATTGCTTCTGTGAAATTTTCCACATTTACAACACCTTGCTTGGTTAGTGCAAAGGTGTTGGGAGTGGCCCCACTCCTGGCACCTAAAGCACTGTATCGGTCTCTTTTTGGGATTATAGTTTTCTATTATCACGTTAAAGCTGAACATATTGTTAAAGTGGTGGATAGCATATCCTGATTTGTTTTTCTTGAGTTCTAAGAGAAAAATCGGCAGCTTTTCAAAATCTTTTCTTCTTCCTCGTTTAAATTGTTTAGCCTTAAGAATAGGAAATTTTCTTTGTTCTAAATCATTGAAGATTGCTTCTTCTTTTACTGTGTTAGGAAGATCCTTAAGTATGACTCTTCATGGTTTTTCGCTTGTCAGTAAATAGGTGTAAAAAGGAATGCTTCTGTCATTCGGTAGTTTCGTCATATTTCAGTGATCTTTGATAGTTTTAACATTGACATGTATTGCAGAAGATTTTAAATTAGCTTAAAATTCTTCATTACATATTTTTCTGAAGGGTTCATCTACTTAATGTCCAATCAATTCTGTTTTGCTGAAAAACGATGGGCGGGGGCGTTTCTTCTGTGCTGGCTCTGCCTTCTTCAGCGTTTTCGCCGTTTTTTACAGGATCAAATCTATTTTCATTTTTTCTTCTGTTTCAATGATTTTAGCAGTTTTTCTGGGAATCTGCCACTCTCCTTCTTTGATTTCTTGAGTAATTTCAGCATCATATTTGTTTTCCTGCGTTTACAAATGACTTGCATTGATAAAGCTTTGAGTGAATTTCCTGATGAACTGTTTGGCGTCCTCTGCATGCTCTGATGAACTTGGTTCAAATATCTGTCTGAAAAGTTGCATATCCGAAAATGCTTCTTTAACACATTTGTAGATAGCTTCATAACCGAAGATTTTAATTTGCTCCTTAACTTCTGTTTTGAAGGTAACTAATCTCGGTACTTTACAATCATTTGCTGCTCTATCATCCTTGTCCATCTGTTTGCTTGTTCTTTTCTTCTTCCTTACAATTCGGTTTTCCAATGAGCGTAGAAAATGTTCTTTTCGCAAAGGGAAAGTCTTCGTAGAAATATTCGATCTGCCTGAATCAGATATTTCGCTACGCTCATCATCATCTGTTTGCATAGTCCTATAAAAGGACATTTTTGGTTACCCGAAGGTAAACTGCAGAGTGAGATTAATCAGTACGACAAAATGCTGAAACCAAAGTGCGACTGACATGCTCGATGTCCCAGCTCAGAATGCCCACAGCGAAAAGATTTATAGTTATATATATAACTTTACCGCAGATCATAGTTTAACAAATCACAAACAAGAAGCAGAAAACAACCAATTGAAAATAACATAAATATAAACAAATAAAATAGGATTAAGTTTCAAACTGCATTGGACATGACAGAAAGCTATAATTCCTTTTAACCATTAAAAATGTGATTACAAATATCTCAACAGTATGTGCACTTGGATTTGTTTCAGAAAGCAACTGACAAATTCTAACTTTGTTAAACTGGTTAGTCCAGGAGGTCTTTGTAAAATGTGGAAGAGAGGTTCCTGTATTCATGCTTGACTTAGTCAAACTGAAGGAGAATGTGGCGACACGGCCTTTCTGTGGCAACCCTAAAGAATTCGTCTGTCACGAGGATCATGTGCCCAGATGCATCATTACATCTGCTTTTCTGTTTGATAGTTAGTTGCATTTAAGATTTTGTGGAATTAGAAATGGCGTGAAAATAAATGTTGGTGTTTTTAAAGTGTCGGCTCTGATTTTCGAACCTATGATTTACTTGTTAAGCAACAAATTTGGCGAGCCAGCCAGGATGAATGTCACAGGGTGACATTATCGATTTCGACACTTGATAATTTACGAAAATAAGAGAAGTTCCTAGGTGCAAACATGGATGATTTAGAAACACTAAAACAGAAGCGGAAAGCAATTAGGAGTGTATTTACGAAAACAGCTAATAAGTTAGATGAACTGATACGATCAGATTTCTCGGATTTGGACGATTTAGAAATTTATTTAGATCAAATTTCAGAGAAGTATAAAACTTTACGAAATACGGATGACTCTTTTTTGGAACTTCTACAGAAAAAAGGCTGTACTGAAGAAGAATACGAAAGAGAATTTAGTGCAGCTCAAGAATATTACGATAAATTATCTACGTTGAAAGTAAAAGCCAACAGGAAAAAGGATAAGTGTTCACAGCCTTCTACTGGTTCAACGAATAGCGGTTCTTCATCAGGAATAGTTACGGCCGCAAAACAGAAACTGCCAGAGATCGAACTGGTGAAGTTCGATGGAGACTCCCGAAAGTGGTTGACGTTTTGGACAAGGTTTAGTAAAATACATGAAGATACTCGCATCGACAAGAGAGACAAGTTTCATTATCTACTACAATCTACGAAACCTGAGACTGCGCCAAGAGCAATAGTGGAGAGTTTTCCTGCTACGAAAGAAAATTACGAAAAAGCCGTGGAGTATCTCAAAGAACGATTTGGAAATGAAAATGTTTTAATTCAAATTTATGTTAGAGAGCTATTAAAACTGGTAATCAATGACAAACAAAAGATAGACTTATTAACTCTTTATGACAAGTTGCAAACTCAACTACGCGCATTGGAAACACTCGGTTTAACTAAAGATAAATTTGCAGTTGTTTTATTTCCTTTAGTGGAATCAGCACTTCCTGCTGATTTAATACAAATTTGGGAAAGACAACGAGGTATGTCTCCTGAAACAACAGGTAAGAGTGATTTGGAGTCATTAATTGATTTTCTAAAAAGGGAAGTAGAAACTGAATTTAGAGTTAAACTTACCCGTGATGTTTTGGGTTCTGATAAAGTAAGTAATAAGAAAATAAAGTTTTTTGACACAAAACCTGTTGTTCCAACTGCATGTGAACTAATTAATGCAAAATAGTAGTAAGTGTAATGAAAAATTTTCAAAAGTATAAAAAGTCTGATACTTGTATTTTTTGTGAAAAATCCCATTTGTCTGAAAGTTGTAAAGATGCATCTTTAATGAGTTTAGAATGTAAGAAAGATATTATTAAGAAAAAGAATGTTTGTTTTGTGTGCCTTAAGAAAAACCATAGAGCAAATCAGTGCACAGCTAAACATAGGTGTACCTTATGTAAAAATCGACATTTTGTGATTATGTGCCCTGATTTGCCTTCTAACAAAACAAAAAGTATGTCACAAAGTTAGGGAATGACGAAAACAAAACAGGCATTCTTAATAACTATGTTAAGGTATCAGATGTATATCTTCAAACTTTAATTGTAAAAATTCAGAATGGTTCTAAAGAAATGTTTGTACGAGCAATTTATGATAGTGGTTCTATGAAATCATATTTATGTAATGATGTTGCTCAAAGGTTAAATTGTAAGTGTATTGGTGAATCAAAAATTAAGCAATTTCTTTTTGGTGGAGTTGAGACTTCAGAAAATGTATATAAAAAACTATGTTATTGAAGTAAGCAATATATATAGTAAATATAAGTGTAAATTAGAGGTACTTGGTCAAAACAAAATTTGTTCTGAAATTAAGCAACTCCCATCTGGTTCGTGGTTACGCGAACTTAAGTCACATGGTATCAAATTAAGTGATTTAGAAAATGGTACATGTAAGGTAGATAAAGAGATAAAATTACTAATTGGTGCGGATTTTGCTGGTAAGTTGCTAACTGGAAAAATTGTTCCCCTTACGTGCGGCGTCAGCGCGGTGCATACGCAGTTAGGCTGGACTGTTATGGGTAA